TTTTTTTTTTTTTTTTTTTTTTTTTTTTTTTTTTTGGAGTTTTGTGTAAAAAAAAATACAAAATTCAAATCATCTTTCAAAATCAATGGACTAAACAGCAAACAGGGGTAGGGTGGGTTGGGTTATGCTGCTCAAGTATAATTACCATCACACCCCTACAATCCGTGCAATTTCACATTTTCTGATGAATCTCAAGAACTGGTAAAACTAAAAGGAATAAACAAAATCTATTCCCATTCTAATCTTACAAACCTTAACAGATTCTAACATAGTAATGAAGGATTATAAATGAATGTGTCACGATTTCATTAGGAATCGAAATGGAACCAAAAGACATAACTCAATCTAATAATTATTTCCAAGGACAAAAGTCGTTAACTCCGAGTCTTCGGTAGAAGTGTACTGGAACCTGCAGCTACTTTCGAATTCGAATTCCTACCAGCATTCTTGACTCAGAATATATGAACGATATCGTAGGCAAATCTTTTTCATGTCAAGAAAAACATAGTCGACAAAAAGTTTCTTAGAACTCAAGTCTATAGTTGTACAACCGTTAGAACATATCCTGTTCGAGTAGGTCGTGTCAACGTACAATTTCTAGAAGTAAGCAATTCAGTGTGAGACCAAGCTTTTAAAGCAATGCTAATCAAGCGTTTTCTCTGGGAAAAATAATACTTTCGAAATTTTTTCTAGTGCAAGTTCGAAATTTTCGGCAAAAGAAAAACACTTTTATCATATTGAAAGATTGTACCAAACACACACAATTGGCATACTTATCAAAGATCATGCATAAACAATAAAGTTATAGAAAGGATACGTCCAGAAGAGCACGAAGGACTGCAAAGTTAAAACAAAAGGTTAGTGTCGATAGGTGCATGCCAAAACACATGAAAACAACGAAAAGACAAATAACATGGTGAATGTAAAACAATTTCTTCACTCAAGCACCCATAATGTGCCGAGACAATGATCAAACATTTCTTTTGTCTAACAGAAAAGTATGCTCTCTAGTTTCTACTGAAAGATTATCAGAGGTTATTACCGGCCGTTTCGAAAGTCTAGTATTCTGGAATTCTTTCAAACCCATTCAGGATAGGTCATTTACTCCCTCATTTTAGACTATGTTACAGTAATATTATTGCAGGAAAGGGGCTTTGTTTTAACAATGAAAAAAGGGGGATGTTGTTTACAATATTCCGAACGGTATTCGTAATTTAAATAAACTATGGAAATCATGAACAAATAAAATTAGGTTCAGTACTATATCAAGAACATCTGGTACGGTATAAAGCAAGCTACTTCAAACTATATCAAGTGACCTTTCAATTACTCTCGGATAGATTACAAACTTTAGGTTACCTTGTTATAATATTAATTTAGCTTGTTATAATATTAATTCTAGGATTTAAGGAGGTTTATTGTATTTTTTACTTTTTAGAGTTTTTTTTTTTTTTTTTTTATAAGAGGCAATCTCATTGATAATAGAAATTTATAAAGGAGATATAATATCCATGATGATTACAAAAGACCTTCACAAATTACAGTGAGGTAGGTATAACTATAGGAAGTAAAAATATTAAAGAGCTTACACCAAGATATAGCTTGGTAAACAACATTGTCGAAGAGTTTTGTATAAGTATGTGTTTTTTCCACAAATATTTTTTTATTTTTTTATTTCTTTCTTTCCACAGATTCCAAAAGAAAGCCATGATGAGGTTTTTCCATAGTAGGGCTTTTGCATTCTTGAATGGGTGGTATGTTAAGGCCATGTCCAATAGACCCTTTACCTCCTTAGGAAATGTGAGATATCATTCGAATATATTAAGAATCGTCGTCCAGAAATTCTGAGCGCATGTACATAACATAAATAAGTGACTTTGTGATTCGTTTCCCTTCTTGCATAATGCTTTGGAGAAAGAGTAACGTAAGACATTCTTTTTTTTAAGACTTTTGCTTGTGTTATGCATTATTTTCCAATTAAAGAACCTCACCTTTTCAGGGTGATGTCCTTTCTTCTACATTTTCCCCATGTTCATGATCAAGAATTTTGTAGAGAAGACCCCATCAACACTAGAGAGCCAAGTTAGTAAATTTACTTTGTTCGACAATACCACTGGGGCAAGGTCAAGGCTTAATTCAACCCATTTTGTTGCTTCAATATCTTTCAAATTTCTACCAATCTTCAAGTCCCAGAATTTGTTGACAATATTCTACATTTTAGAGAATTATTTTTAAGGTTATAAGTTATAGTTAGCTAGGGGCCATTATGGTATTTATGGACAAGAAAATTACAATGACCATAGGTTACTCTAAGGTTTATTTTTTAGGCTATAAATAGTCATTCAAGTTACTCCTTTAATATGAAGATTTTGGAGATTAAAATGAAAGTCGGATGTTATGCTTCTTAAGCCATGAGCTTGTTCCTTTGCATTTCTGGTGTTTAGATTTGCATGCTATAGTCATTCAAATAGCCTTGATCAAGCTATCTTGTGGAGTGATTCGTGATGAATCACGAGTTTAGAAACAAGTTTTCCTTACTCTTAATCTTGATCATCAAGGTAATCCGATTCGAAACTTACCCTTAGGTTGATTGCTTATCGTTTTGGGGTTCTTGGATGTAACATCTCAAACTCACCGCTAGCATATACTATCCTCTTTTGGCTTTCCCTTTCGGACTTCCTCTCAAGGTTTTTAAAATGTGTCTACTAATGAGAGGTTTCCACACCCTTATATATAAGAAATGTTTCATTCCCTCTCCAACCGATGTGGGATCTCACATTGGATATTTTAGTTCTAAAGGTCTTGTTTTCCAGCGAGGTTGTCAGATCAAATACTCAAGAATTTCATACCATTATCTATTCTATGGGTCGTACAATTGTGCCCTTTGAGTTCTAAGAAAGTAGAGGCATCCGTTAACAACCCCCTACCACAGAATTTCAATTCCTAGAAAACCTCCATCTAATCATTCATTGTTTAGTAGGCCATAATCTTGATTCAAAGCCAAGAAACGCCCATTGGATTTTGGGAGCTCCGGGATTTAGTCCTATTTTTTTCCAGTTATATCCAACTCAGTCTTTCAGGCCATTCAAGGTTCACTGTAGGAATTGGATAATTGGAGGTGTACAGTGAATAGGAAAAGAAGTTAAATCCCTTAACGTTTCCACTTCCCATATTGATAGTCTCCTGAAATCAACTTGTTCCTCTATTTTTATATCCTTAACCCATCAGTATGATCAAACGACCTCAAATTGTAATCCCTTTTTCTATCTATTTAGATTTGAACTCTTTGTTTAACAAGGCATCTCTAATTCAAAATATCCTTCAATTACAATCTCACCGAATAAACCCTCATTTGAATTGCATTTTCCATTATTTTCCTTAAGAGGAAATGAGAAAATTTTACAAAAATCAGCAAGGTATAAAAGCCTAACCAGAATAAGAAATCACCCTAAAAGGTATGCAACTAATTTCTTCACAATCTAGAACAGACGTATGCAACTAACATGAAAGGGCTTCTAACTTAAAAAACCTAGAACCATTAAATCTGAATATTCATACATTTAAGACAGAATTCAACAGAGGTCAGTTTGAAGTAAACAAATTGATCTAATTCACTTATTTCCTCCTCTATTGTGTCTTCTAACTTTTTTCCAATCTAAAAAAATAAGAGCAGAGAATGCATACCATAAGGCCACTCAGAAAGCCATCAAGTAGAATCTGGTTCCAGCTTTCAAAATACGAATGAAAGGAGAATCCAGCCTTAGCTGCAAGTCCAATTGAAGTAATTGCCATGACTAGGAAATAGAATATAAATCCAGTCAGGCTAGTGAATCCCAAAATTCCAGCAATTACTCCACCAATAATAGACAAAAACGTCCGGCTGCAAAAGATGATACGAAATTTACAATCTAGTTCACAAAACTCAAAAGAATTATAAGAGGATAATGATCATCTTTTCCGTTTCGGTAGCAACTCAATTTAAATGCAGACACTCCTGAGAAATTGAATTGAATCAGTCTCCGTCGCACAGTGATCAGGGCCCATTGAAATTTTAGGTCAGCCAATTCAATTTACAGTTACATAAGCTGCTAATTAAAAAGAAACAAACAATCCTTCTCAAAGATTTGGGAAAGAAGAGGCCTATCAATGAAGGATTCTAACTATAAAGATTCATAGTAGTCAACTACGGTCAGACGATTTTGCAAACAAGTAAAGTTAGTTGATGCATCAAAAAACCTGTAGTATATAATCTTCAAGTTGTTTTGCAAATTTTCAGCATTCAAGATCGGTATATCGTCGACCGCGTCAGACGATTTCTTCTCGGAAGCATTGGAGGAATATCCAGCCATAGCTTCGAACGGCGTCTGATCTGAAGTTCAAAAATGCCAGGAAATTGAAAAACCATAATAAATTTAGACATGAATCTTCTCGGCAATTGAAAGACAACACGATGAGTGAAAAGCAACAGAAAACCTACCGGATCTTCTGCAACTAATGGATCCAAATCTATGAAACAGAGAGAAAAGTACCAAAATGCAGTAGCGGATTGTTTGTATGATCTGAATTTCAGAAGAATAATAACAGTAAATTACCAGTTGATTGCGATCGATCCAAGGGGAGGAAGGTAAGGCTTTGTCTACGAACAGCGGCAGCTGTGAGTCTTGTTCTTGTCGAGTTGAGCTCTCCCGTTAGCCTACAAAATAATTTCTGGGTTAAATTAAAAAAAATATAAATCTCAAATTTTTTAAAAAAAAAATTTAATAGATTTCTCCAATTTTAATTTCAAATCTAATAAATCTTCAACCATTCAAAAACTAATTTTAAATTAAAAAATATCAAATAAATTAAACATTTATAAACACAAAAAAATTGAGATTTATTATATTTAAATCAACTTGGGCTCTAACAGGCCTGTTATTCGAAATTTAAGGCCCAAATATGTGTCCTGGCCCAAAAAGAATACCGGCCCGTTAAGAGCTATATCAGCCCATTGTTGTTGGGCCGTACGTCAAAAGTTTAACAATTATGTATATAAACTAATAAAATTTTATAAATATAATAAAAATAGATAACAATTAAAGGGTAATTACACAAATATGGTTAAAATTTTAACGAGAAAGCCGACCGAACGCATAACTTTATGTATTATTAACGATATCAACAGAAGTTTTATCGTTATCATATTCTATATGTAACTTAGTCATTCTGACCTCAAGCCGGGCAAATCCTTCGAAAAAAATGAATCTATGACTCTCGAACATAATTAAGTAAAACGTGGTGATAAATTATGTACCCTATTAATGTCGCAGCTCTCAAGTCGATCTCGTGTTTATCTCATTAAACTAAATAAATAAATAATCTAAATTAAAAATAATAATAAATAAATGCAAATGGGGTTAAATTTTGCTGTGTAATTTTCGGCTTTTTGATCATGTTTAGGAATGAATACGGCGGAACCCACTGATTTCAAAATCAAATCATTTTCTCTCTATATTTTAAAATGAAATAATTAAAGTTTTTTTTTTATTATTATTATTTAAAAAAAAAAAAAAAAAAAAAAAAAAAAAGGATTTAGAATTTAGAAAGCGGGTTGACCCGTGTTTCGTGTGCCGATGAACCAACAAGTAAACGGGTACCATGGTCGGCCAACCAACAACGCGGCTGCTGTTGCTTCCTTTTTCTTCTTTATCTTAATTTGGTATTTTTTCAAATATAATATTAAAATTAATCATTAAAAAACACACTTATTTATATATATATATATATATATATATATATATATATATATATATATATATATATATATAAATATATATAACTGTGATGTCCAACATTTATGAGGGAGGAGAACAAACTACCATTTATAAGGGTGTGAAAACCTTCCTCTAGCAGACGTGTTGTAAAGCCTTGAGGGGAAGCCCGAATGGAAAAATCCAATGAGAACAATATCTGCTAGTGAAAGATCTGGGTCGTTACAAATGGTATCAGAGCCAGACACCGGACGATGTGTCAGCCTTCTTGCTGTTCCCTGAAGGGGGGTAGACACGAGGCGGTGTGCCAGTAAGGACGCTGGGCCACAAAGGGGGTGGATTTGGGGGCGGTCCCACATCGATTGGAGGAACGAAAGAGTACCAGCGAGAACGCTGTGCCCGGAAGAGGGGTGGATTATGATGTCCCACATTGGTTGGGGAGGAGAACAAACCACCATATATAAGAGTGTGGAAACCTTCGCCTAGCAGACGCGTTTAAAGCCTTGAGAGAAAGCCTTAAGAGGATAATATCTGCTAGCGGTGGATCTGGGTCATTACAATAACAAATTATATTCGAGTAGAGTTTTAGCTATAGAAATAAATGCTCACTAGGATCGGTTCTATTAATGCAAGCTGCATTATTTTTATTATGTTATTTCATAACATCATAGACAAGTACATATATCTGAACTAGATGAGTTATGCTCAGTTTGACACCCGACATGGTTTTGCTAGATACTGGTGATGTCATATCAATACATAAGTAAAGTGATATCATAACGAGCGGGAAAGAAAATATGTTTTTATGAGTTCGGAACTAAAATAGAAATACTACGAAAGGAGATGGAAGTACCCGAGAAACGCGATAACGAGGAGGCGTTGTATTGAAGTTGATATGTCTATGGGTAGAGATTTTTATTTGCACAACAAATATTGGAGGGGTCACAATCCCACCCAACGCCAAACACCAAGTAAAATTAGCCATCCGAAATCAATGCAGCCAAACAAGGAACTTCCAAAATACTTAGATTTTGTTTCATTTATTTAATGTCAATTTGTTTGGTTTACGTAAGAGAAAGGGATTGTTGGTTGTTATTGCTTCGAATTATTATTATACGTGTCTTGTTTAGGGTTTAAAGTAACTTTTTTTTTTGTGGGTAAGTTTCATTTTGATACGAACTCAGTTTAGGACAGACGACGAGGATCCAGCTCGTACGATATTGTTTTTGCGATGTACGTGTATGTGTTGAGCTTACATTGGTGTTTGGCGCTTAGCCATTATGTGGGACAAATCTAAATGCTACAATGACAGGGTGAAACGGGACAAGTCAACTAGGGTCGTAATGTGTAATGTGTGGGAATCAATGGTTGGTTTCTAATATTGGAACATACTACACGTGACAAGGTGAATTGAGATAAGTCAACCAGGGTCGTAGTGTGTAATGAGTTGGAAGTAGTGGTTGGTGTGAATGTTTGCTTAATCCACCACACCTAAATGGTGTGAAAGTTATCTTATTTATAATCAAATAAATTACAAGGATATGGAAATAGTAATAAATGGAAATAACAATAAATGGAAAGATACTATAGTAATAAGGCAAATGTTAGATATTTGCCTTATAATAAAATATCAAATATAATATATATGGTAAACTATAATTTATTACTAAATATCCTTAACACCCCACCGCAAGCTAAGCGTCGGATTTAAACGAACGTGAAGCTTGAATCTGAAAAATTCAAAGAGGTTGAGAAACACTTTTCGCGAAGATGTTAACAACCTGGTTCAGAGGAGGCGTAGAGAAACACTTTCTTGGCCATCGAAAACTGCAGAGAGATCGCCGCTCAGCGGCAATGCTGCCTTGGCTTCGGTGAGAATATGTCTAACCCATGAAGAGGGATTGTCGCTTAGCGACGATGCTGACTTGGCTCTGGTGAGAATATGTCTAACCCCAAGAAGTAGAAGGGGAAACCTAGAGCAAGGGACAAAGACAATGTTGAAGCCGGAAGAGTCGCCACATTGGGCGAATGAGCCAATTTTGGCGAGAAGGGCAGCTGGAAGAGTCGCCACATTGGGGCGAAGGAGCCAATTTTGGCGAGAAGGGCGGCGGCAACTTGGTTGGCGAAGATGCCAGTGCGGCGCCCAGATTCCAAAGGTAAATCTCTGCAGAAGGTCGATGGGCTTATTGAGATTCTGTATATTTTCGAAGAGGGATGCTGATGAAGATCCTAAGATTAGGGTTTTTGCGAAGGATGAATGATGAAGGGAAAAATTGGGAAGAAAATGAAAGAGGCTATGTTTGGAAAAGGTGAGGTTGTATGTACAGAGTATGGCGAAGGATGATTTGGAGGTCAAAAAGGTGGAGCCGAAGAATAATCAATCGACTCTGCATGTGACAGCCATGACGACTGCCCCTGCGGCATCAAAGACAACAGTGGTGGTGGAGAAGAACAGTAGAAGATTTCAAAAGCCATTGAAAAGAAAGGATCTAGGTTGCTAAACCAAAATGGCTCTGATACCATGTGAATGTTTGCTTAATCCACCACACCTAAATGGTGTGAAAGTTATCTTATTTATAATCAAATAAATTACAAGGATATGGAAATAGTAATAAATGGAAATAACAATAAATGGAAAGATACCTATAGTAATAAGGCAAATGTTAGATATTTGCCTTATAATAAAATATCAAATATAATATATATGGTAAACTATAATTTATTACTAAATATCCTTAACACCCCACCGCAAGCTAAGCGTCGGATTTAAACGAACGTGAAGCTTGAATCTGAAAAATTCAAAGAGGTTGAGAAACACTTTTCGTGAAGATGTTAACAACCTGGTTCAGAGGAGGCGTAGAGAAACACTTTCTTGGCCATCGAAAACTGCAGAGAGATCGCCGCTCAGCGGCGATGCTGCCTTGGCTTCGGTGAGAATATGTCTAACCCATGAAGAGGGATTGTCGCTTAGCGACGATGCTGACTTGGCTCTGGTGAGAATATGTCTAACCCCAAGAAGTAGAAGGGGAAACCTAGAGCAAGGGACAAAGACAATGTTGAAGCCGGAAGAGTCGCCACATTGGGCGAATGAGCCAATTTTGGCGAGAAGGGCAGCTGGAAGAGTCGCCACATTGGGGCGAAGGAGCCAATTTTGGCGAGAAGGGCGGCGGCAACTTGGTTGGCGAAGATGCCAGTGCGGCGCCCAGATTCCAAAGGTAAATCTCTGCAGAAGGTCGATGGGCTTATTGAGATTCTGTATATTTTCGAAGAGGAATGCTGATGAAGATCCTAAGATTAGGGTTTTTGTGAAGGATGAAGGATGAAGGATGAAGGGAAAATTGGGAAGAAAATGAAAGAGGCTATGTTTGGAAAAGGTGAGGTTGTATGTACAGAGTATGGCGAAGGATGATTTGGAGGTCAAAAGGGTGGAGCCGAAGAATAATCAATCGGCTCTGCATGTGACAGCCATGACGACTGCCCCTGCGGCATCAAAGACAACAGTGGTGGTGGAGAAGAACAGTAGAAGATTTCAAAAGCCATTGAAAAGAAAGGATCTAGGTTGCTAAACCAAAATGGCTCTGATACCATGTGAATGTTTGCTTAATCCACCACACCTAAATGGTGTGAAAGTTATCTTATTTATAATCAAATAAATTACAAGGATATGGAAATAGTAATAAATGGAAATAACAATAAATGGAAAGATACCTATAGTAATAAGGCAAATGTTAGATATTTGCCTTATAATAAAATATCAAATATAATATATATGGTAAACTATAATTTATTACTAAATATCCTTAACACCCCACCGCAAGCTAAGCGTCGGATTTAAACGAACGTGAAGCTTGAATCTGAAAAATTCAAAGAGGTTGAGAAACACTTTTCGTGAAGATGTTAACAACCTGGTTCAGAGGAGGCGTAGAGAAACACTTTCTTGGCCATCGAAAACTGCAGAGAGATCGCCG